AGAGAACAATCTGACAGTTAAGAAAAGTGTGGCAAGCAACAACTATATGATGCCTTTGGAATGGAATTTTTCAGGAGAGTAACAGGAGTTCATGAATTAGATTTAGACAGTACAGCTTTGGCCTCTCAAGTTTAACTATTCAACAACAATTGGGTATGCACTCAAAGTTAATGCTATCAAGTCTCCTACTTTAGTTTGTGAAATTAGAGATTGCCAAAGACGAAGTCCGTTTGCACAACTGAACACTTCAATTACGTCAACAACTTCCAAAGAAGGCAAGGAATCCATATTCCAACAAGTATACCCCAGCATGGCAGAATCATCCTGATTCTCTTGAGTAACAACAACGATTGTAAGCCACCTTGTGGTTATCAAACTCAAGAGAAGAAATCAATTTTGGAAGATGTACTTACAAATCATTGAAGAGACGAGCAGAGGTTTGAGAAGACTGACATCCCTGTCCAAAATCAATCAGCCTTATTAGGAACCTTGAGACCAAATTGGGCAAATTCATAACATATTAGCGGGAAGAGTTCAAGGAGTTTTTCCCGAGTGATACAGAGAAGAATCCCAGAAACAAGAGCATGCAATCACTTTGAGGAGTGGACGAATGTGGAGAATTCAGAGGGTGGAAAACAGAAGCAGAACAAGAGAAAGATTTGAAGGAGAGCAGAAGAATGATCGCCGTGGTGATGAATTTTTGTCGCAATGATCGTGAAAATTTAAAGAATCTCATCAGCAAGAAGGCTGATCAGCGCCTATGATAATGGTGGTCGCGACAAGCGTTGAATGCTCCAATTCGTCAGAAGTTTCGGACTAGCCGCGTTGATGAATGGTGGCCGTGACGAGCACACATTTGAGCAGAAAACCCTCGTCGAGCCAGGCAATCTGCCATACCCACAACGGTTGAGAATCAGAAGCTCGACAAGCAATTCGGTAAGTTCATTGACATGTTTAGAGTTTACATATTAATATTCCTTTGTTGATATGCTGAACAGATGCCGAAGTATGTGAAATTTTAAAGGAGATCCTCACGCACAAGAGGAAATTTGTAACGCTCCACTTGAGGATGTAGCTAATGTTCTTATTTTGCTCTTATTTGAGCGGGTTATTATTAATATGTGTTCGTGGCCCTTAGTTGAATGGAGGTAGTGGTTTGGTTAAGTGTTTGCCTTGAAAATTATGAAGATGGCGAAATTTAGGGGTACAGGCTTCGCGGGGCGAAAAAGAAGCTTCGCCGCGCGAAGTTGTGTTTTAGCCCGCGTGTGCAGTCGCTGGAGTGCGCCGCGGCGATGAATTTTCTTGGTGCGAGGGTCGGCTGAGAAATTTATGGAAGTTTGATACTTCTTCCTAAGGCAATTTAACCATTCTACCCCTAATTAGTGGGAAAAGTAGGGAGTAAAAGGTAAGGAAATTTCATGAAAAATATGTTGGTGTGGGGGTGTGATTGTGATGACTTAAGAATTAAATGGAATTCCCAAGGAAGAGTAAGGGCAATATGGGAATGCTTGCCCATAAGTTGAGTTAAAAGGATTTAAGTCATTGCAAACCCTTCATTCATTCTTCTTCTACCGCCATTCTCTCCCACCATTTTCTCTCAATTCTTCCTTCAATCTTTAAGGAGTTTTGAGAGTTTTTAGTTGGATCTTGTAGAGAATTAATCTAAGACATCCTAAGGTAAGGATTCTTGTTTTAGATGGGGATTTATTATGTTTTGATTAAAGTCTTAGTGGTGGTTGTTATTTAAAGTTGTAGAGAGGAAATCAAGCCACCAAAGGAAAGGAGAAGTATTAGAGAAGCTATTTCCTCACAAGGGTAATTCCCAATCCAAGTTGGATTTGAGAATTCTCTTCAGTAGAGATTTAGTAGAAATGATGTATGCATGTTATATATATGTTATGAGAAATTGGTAGAGATATATGTCTACTTGTTGAGAAAATAAGTTGAGAATGGTATTTGTTGTGATGAGTTGAGATGAAGTTGGATGAGATTGAATATATATTTTGGGAGTGTTCCTCTATGATTGGGGTTATGCCCATGGAAGGGAGTTTATTCCCATTTTTGGTGGTTAAAAAGAGAAATAGAGTTGTAGTTGAGAGAGATTGTAGATGCACATGGTTGTTTGATGAAATGCCTAAGAGAAGCATGAAATGAGTTAGAACCTTACTTATTGCAACATTGCCTATTGGTATTTCTTAAGTGCATTAATGAGCATGAAATCCATATGCATTAATTGTGCATTTGAGAAGTAGCTTGAGAAAGAGTAGAGAACTTTGTGACTCACCTACTCTAAGCATTAAGCTACACTATGAATTTGTTTGAGAAAGAGTAGAGAACTGTATGAATACACTACTCTAAGAGTAGAGAGAATGAGAAGAGCACTAAGAACGGTTGGTGCTTTGTGATCTCCACCGATAGGTATGAGGATGGGGTTGGTGCTTTGTATCTCCCCCGAAAGTTGTGAAAAGTGGGTTGGTGCTTGTGATCTCACACGAAAGTCACGAAGTCACCAAGTCACGAAGAGTGGGATGGTGCTGTGTGAACTCCACCCAGCCATGCCTCCGATAAGATGAGGCCGTGACATACACAGCCGTTAAGTAGAGAGAGTTGTGCGAAAGATGAGTACTGTAAGGAAAGAATTAGAGAGAGAGGTTACGGGGACAGTCGAGTAGAGGATACTTACTAAGCATTATTTCGTGCTCACCCCATTGTTTTCTTATGGTTGCAGGATCTAGGTGAGAACGCGGTTGGATGGGCGTCAGCAAGCGAAGAGTAATAGCACACTGTAACACCTTTTGTAAATGGCCTGTTTTGTATAATAATGTCATATGTAATAAAAGAAAAATTTGGGCCCATTTACTTTTGCTTTATAAATATATTCTACTTGATATATTTTCAAGTATCCTCGTGTAAAGCAGTTTACAAAATTCGAGAGGAACCGAGAAAGTATGCTGACGGAGGAATGCAACGCGTGATTCAGAAGAAACTACCACCTAAATACGAGATCCAGGGATTTTTACTATCCCTGTATTATGGTAGTTGTTATTTTGATAAAGTGTTAGTGATTTGGGGCTAGTATTAACTTAATGCATTTTTCCATCTACAGGAAGCTTGGATTGGGAGAAGTGAAGCTAACCACCGTGTCTCTCCAATAGCTGATCGATCGATACATATCCTAGGGGGTTAGTGAAGACGTCCTGATTAGTAGAAAACTGATTTTTCCATAGATTCATAGTGCTAGACATGGAGGAAGATAGGGAAATACCTTTAATTTTATGATGACCTTTTCTGGCCCAGGGTAGAACATTGATAGAGTCCACCAAGGGAAGTTGATCTTAAGGGTAGAAGATGAGCAAGTAGAATTTGATGTTTTCAAGTCTATGAAGCATCCATCTGAATTAGATTATGTTTTAAGATTGATTTTCGACACCATGTATAGAGCAGAATTTGAAGAGAACTACCCAATTCTGCCTTTAGGAACGTTTGATGAATTCTAGAGACTAGGAGGAAGAAGTTCTTAGTGAAGAGATAAGGGAGTGTCTAAGATACTTAAGTGCTTTACCACCTTAGGTTGTCCCAAGGCTAAATTGATCAAGAATTGGAGCCGTGGAGTCTCAGTCATCTTACCGATACACAAGGCGCCTACACATTGAGCTCAAGCAAACTCATCTCCTCTAAGGTGATGCATTTTTAGAAGAGGGTAAAAGTCATATTAATGTTCTTTGAGTGTTGTAGAGGAAGAAAAAGTTGCTGGTATTTGGAAAATACAAGAAGGCCATTGGATGGACAATTGCGGATATCAAAGGTATCAGTCTTCAACTCACACATAAAGATCTTAATGGAGGAAAGTTACAAGCCTATTGTCCAACCACAGAGAAGATTGAATCCGTCAATGCAAGAAGTGGTCAAGAAGGAGGTGTTGAAGCTTTTAGATGCAGGAATAATATATCCCATTCGGATGGTGCTATAAGTGGTGATTCCAAAGAAAGGGGAGGACAGTGGCCAATGATAATAATGAGTGATTCCAATGCGAATGGTCCGGGATGGGGTATGTATTGACTACCGCAAACGATTCCGACTCGTAAGGATCATTTTCCATTGCCATCATCGATCAATGTTAGAGAGGTTAGCGGGCATGAGTCTACTATTTCCTTGATAGATATTTAGGCTACAACCAAATTGCCATAGCGTCGAGAAGATCAAGAGAATACTACTTTCACGGCCATACGGACCATTCGCCTATCGAAGAATGCCTTTTGGCTTGTAAAAGCTCCTACAACTTTTAACGTTGCATGATTCAATTTTTTCTGATAGGTTGAGAAGTCCATTGAAGTTTCATGGATGATTTTTCTGTTTTTGAAAATTCTTTTGATGAGTGTGTTAACTAATGTCTAATGTTTTGCAGAGATGTGTTGACACTAACTTGGTGCTCAATTGGGAAAGTCATTTCATGGTACGAGATGGGATCGTGTTAGGTCATCGGATATCAGCGAACGACATTGAGTGGATCGAGTGAAGATTGAAGTCATTGAGAAACTACCACCTCCAAATTTAGTGAAGGCTGTCAAGAGCTTCCTGGGCATGCAGGCTTTTATAGGAGATTCATATAAGATTTTTCTAAAATCTCTAAACCTCTTTGTGATTATTAGCTAAAGATGTTCCTTTTTTATTCAGTCAAGAGTGTTTAGATGCATTAAGAAAAAATTATTTCTGCTCCATTATTGTTGCGCCCGTTGGGAATTACCTTGAACTCATGTGTGATGCGAGTGATATGCTAGGGGGGGGGGGTAGGGGCGGTTCTTGTATGTGATTTATTATGCCAGTAAGACTTTAATGGGACCTCAGCTGAATTATGCCACTACTGAGAAAGAATTTTAGCAGTAGTGTTTTCTATTGATAAATTTCATTCCATTTGCTAGGTACCAAGGTCATCGTGTCAACTAACCATGCTGCATTGAAGTACTCCTAGCAAAACGGGACTCCAAGCCAAGATTATTGCGATGGGTATTGCTTTACAGGAATTCAACTTGAAGATCAAGGACAAGAAAGGAACGGAAAATCAAGTGGCTGATCATTTATCCGGTTGGAGTCCAATGAAGAAGTTCGAGAGGAAGAAAAGCCAATCAAAGAATACTTCCCAGATGAGCAATTGTTTGCTATTCAAGAAGGACCATGGTTGCGGACATTGTAATTATTTGGCGCGAAAGGTTATGCCCCCTGGAATGAACTCCAGAGACGAAAGAAATTTTTTGCAGATTTAAAGTACTACTTCTGGGAGGATCCATTTTTGTACAAGCATGGCGCTGAGCAGATTATAGAAGATGTGTGCCAGAGAAGAGATGACGAATATACTTTGTCACTGTATTCAATGGAAGTTGGTGGTCATTTTGGTTCGACAAAAACCGCCGCAAAAGTTCTTCAATCAGGATTTTTTGGCCTAATCTTTTTAAAGTGCTTTTCGTTTTGTTATGAGTTGTGATGAGTCAACGAGTGGGAATATTCTAGAAGAAATGCCATGCCTTTAAATAATATCCTAGAAGTAGAATTGTTTGATGTTTGGGGGATAGATTTTATGGGACCTTTTCCTTCTTTGTTTTCTAACTGTTTCATTTTGGTTGCTGTAGATTATGTGTCGAAGTGGGTGGAAGGTGCTGCATGCCAACAAATGATGCTTGTGTCGTTATCAAGTTTATAAAGAAAAATATCTTTCAAGGTTTGGCACGCCAAGAGCCATTACCAGTGATGGTGGTTTTCACTACACTCTCGAAAGGATGGGCAACTAAACTTGATGATGCACTATGGGCGTATAGGACGACATTCAAAACACCAATAGGAATGTCACCCTGGATGGTTTACGGAAAAGCTTGTCACTTGCTGGTGGAGTTAGAGCACAAGTCGTGGTTGGGCAGTAAAGTTTCTGATTTTGTCTACAAGCCGCTAGAGCCAAACGTTTACTGCACTATGAGAGGAGGTTTCACAAGAACATAGAAAAGCACCGGATTTACAACTAAGCAGTGGCATGACAAACACATGTGAACAAGGAATTCAAGGAAGATGACAAAAGTGCTGTTGGTCAACTCGGACTACGACTTTTCCAGGAAAATTGCGCTCAAGGTGGTCTAGCCATTCATCATTCATCGCGTGTTTTGCATGGGGCGATAGAGCTTAACCACCTGATGAAGGGAACATTCAAAGTCAATGGGCAAAGATTGAAACCCTATATTGAGAATGGAAATGACAACGAGATGGTTTCAATTCTTCTCCAGAATCCTAGTTGACGACAGAAAATGAGTCAAGCTTAAGACTTTAAACAAGCGCTTTGGGAGCAACTCAATATTTTGATTTCGGTTGTCTTTTTTTAATTTTTTTTTTTGAGTAATGAGGTTTCTGTTTCGTATGTCTTCTTTTTTGTGTTATGTTTTATGTGTTATGTTTCTAATTTTCGGATATTTTCAGGCGATGTTCAAACGCACGCAGGACAAATTAGAGACCTTACGATCGCCGCGGCGATACACTTTATCATTGACAGGAGCGCGAATGACGAGTATAATGAACCCAATTGTGATTGATCAGCTTGCGTAGCAACGCATTTCATACGCAGCGAGGTGAACTCAGAGCGACGCCATGACGATAACAACGATCGCCGCAGCGACGCATAAATCGTTGCAGCGATCGCACCAGGCCACGCGATTTCGCGTTTAAATCAGCCTGTGTCCCTTTTTCCTTAAAACTTTTCATATTACGAATCATCTCTTCCATAAGTGCTCTTCACCAAATTTTTTTCATTCCTCACAATTTCTTCAACCCACTTTCAATTTGACTCATTGCTTACTAACAATTCAAATTCCCACATTACGCAGATTAAGGAAGCAAGGGGAGAATTTGCGAAAAATCAGGTTAGGGTTTCGAAAAGCAAATTGGGGGTTCGAAAGTTCATCAAATTCATATCAATTCAAGGCATATTTGGATAGTACAAGGTTCAAGTAAGTGTTTCTCACCATTTTGCATTCTAATTTGGAAAAGTGGAATCCATTGATTTGAGTTTTGTGGGTGTGGTTGATCTTTGTTGATTGTTGAAAATTTGGAGAGATGGTGTGAATTTCGTGAAATTTGTGCAGTTGTTTTGGTGATTATTGCTTGATTGAAGAAGGGCAGTTGTCATTTGTCGGTATGGGTTGATTATTGTGATTGTGTTAAGTGTGAAAATTGGACGAGATTAAGTTGCTGTTGTGTTGATCTGTGTGTAGTGTTGTTGATTGACGAAACGCAGTTGTCGTTTGTGGGTATGGGTTGATTATTGTTGATGTTATTGAGTATTGAAAATTGGACAAGATTAAGTGTGTTCGTGATTGAATCTGTGTGTAGTGTTGCTTGATTGACGGAGCGCAGTTGTTGTTGTGGGAATGTGGTGATTTTCGTTGAGGATTGAAAAAATAGATTAAATTGGTGTGATTGAAATATTTGGATTAAGAGTGAAATGTGATAATGGCATCCAAAGAAAACCAGGAAGTGATAGGAGTGACAAAGGAAAAGGAAGGCCTCTAGAGATACCCGGTTTGTTGTCCAGCTGCCCAGGAAAGATATGAGATTTTGCAAAGAAACCGGGTGGATTTATTGAAGAGAGGGCTGGTATTTGCAGAAGCTTTTGAGGGAATAATTGGCGTGATTCAAGCTCTGGGTTGGGAGAAATTTTGTAAAGAACCCCGGCGTGCTGTTGCCTCTATGGTAAAGGAGTTCTATGCCAACGTTCCTGATAGCGTTGAGGGGGACATGGTAAGAGGTAAAGAGCATATTCAATGCAACTGCTATTAATCGGTTTATGGGTTGCCGCAAGTTGAGCTAGATGATGACGCCTATGCCGCATTTAAGCACCAAGTGGATTTTGACGCAGTAATTAATTCTTGACAGATGGGAAAACTAATGGTATTGCGGCTGGGGAACACATCCATTTTGACAGTAAGTTCTTGAACTCAACTTCGCGCATGTGGCTGTATTTTGTATGCGCTCGATTGATGCCATACAGCACATGAGCATGTTAGTTAAGCAGGGCGATTCTGATATTGCAATTCAGCAGAAGATGGAATGAATGTGGGTGAGATGAGATTACTTTCAAGAGATCACCCATTCAGCAAAGCGTACCAAGACTGGTTTTACTTTCCTCACCTGATCACTGCATTGTGAAGAAGCTGAAGTGCCATTGAATGCTGAAGAGGTTTTTATTTCGCAAGACGTGTGTTTACCATGCAATTTCTGCAAAATTTAACCAGTGGGGGCAGAGTAGAGGTATCTAGGCCAAAGCATCTCATCACCGAAGTTTCCCAAAGAGATCCATTGTCGAAGCTCCATGAAGACATCAAATAGTTGAAAACGCAACAGAATCACCAAGAAGCCTGGATGATGTGGATGAGTGGGACATGGTGCAACATTGTTAGAGTCATGAAAGTGACTCTACTTTGGTGACAAAAAGACCCTATGTGTTATTGAATTGAAGTTATATTGAGACAATTAAGAGAAATTATGAATTTATGTTTAAAAATCATATTTTGAGTTTTTCTTATCATTGGCATGTTTGGATTGAAATGAGATTGTGTAAGTTGATTTTAGGATGTGATTTATTTTCTAGGGTTAATGTTGTCATTTATGCCATTCAGGGGTCAAATTGTCATAATCTGGGGTTGATTTTGTCATTTTTAATATGCAGGGACAAAGGATATTTGCCGTAATGGGTATAACTTCCAGGTGATCACGTGAAAAAGGGGACGCCGCGCAAACAACCAAAACCCTAGCCCCCACCAGAATTGGTCGCCGGCCGACGACGTTCATCTTCCAGGCCGACGACCCTTATCTTCCGCGGCGTGCCTCCACCACAAGCCACCACCGTGAAACACGCGCTGCCGCGACGCTTCGCCTTCCCACCACCGCGCGTTTCGTCTTCCCGGCAGTTTTGGCAGTTTTTCGGCGACGTTCCAGCCCCCAACGGTAGATCTTCATCCCCAAGCCGGATCTAGCATTTCCAAGCTTCAGCCACGGCGAAAACCGCCGAAATCCGGGTTTACCGTCGCGCCTCTTCATTTTCCAGGCAGATCTTGCTCATTTTCGATGACTTCTCACCTCCCTAGGACCTGATCGAACTCCCCATCACCAGAGCTTTCCATTGGTACCTTCGGATCCCATTTCGCCACCGTTTTCCGGAGACCCACCGGAAAATTAACGTTTTCCGGCGAACTGCGGCTGTTCGTATTTCGAGCGTCGTTGGTCGTTTCGGCCCTTCTTCGCATCATATCGCTGTCGGTTACCTCCTCTTCGCCATGATCAGCTGTTTCACTGTTTCAGCCTCCGTCATCACCACCATGAGCGGCTAAGTTCCCGTTGTCCGTTACGGTGTAGGCAAGATCGAGATTGACTCACTAATCTCCTCATCAGCTCTCGACTAGTTGGATGAGCCGAATGTTGGATATTTGGTTAAGTTTCTTGTATTCAGATTATATTGTTTCGTTTCGTTTGTTTGCGATACTTTATATTTTCTGATACTCGACGTGTTGAATTGATAATGTCCATTGAGAATGTTTATTGATATATAATTTTTGCATAATTGAATGTGGTTTGAGATTATTGAATGTTGATTATGACTTAAATTGCTTCGGTACTGATTGCAATCAAGTTGTAGTCGTTTAAATACATTCTACTAGGATGCATTTATTGTGGAATTAGTTGATTGGATGATACAGGTTGATAGGTTGTACTTGTTAACGTTGTACCAACTAGTGGTGTTTAAAGGTTTAGCGTTTTTCGGTTAGTCGATGATAGTCTTTAACCAATCGATCTGTAACTAAGACGACAGGGAGACAGGATAGATTAATTCTAGATTGCTGGAGATATTTTTATTGATTTGCCTAGCCTTGTAGGTTTAGGAAATTGAAGAGCGAGGAGAGGAATTGTGAGAGGTGGTCTTGAGTCAAACGAACCGTAGCTAGCGACAACGTTTTAATATTGTTGTTTAGTTAGCAATTTATTTAATGCTTTTAATTTCCTGCAAGTAATTAGTTTCTTTAGTTTTAATCAATCATTCTGTCAATTTCTTTCGTTAACTCAAATATACATTAGGTCATTAGTCTTGCTCTCTGTGGATTCGACCCTGTTACGCGCTACTACGGTATAGGTTTAATTTGTGACCGTGAACACGGTCTAACAAAATTTACGTGTGTCTTACCATGCAATTTCTGCAAAATTTAACCAGTGGGGGCAGAGGAGAGGTATTAGGGCCAAAGCACTTCATCAACGAAGCTTTTCCAAAGAGATCAATTGTCGAAGCTCCATGAAGACATCAAACAGTTGAAAACTCAAAATAATCACCAAGAAGCCTGGATGACGTGGATGAGTGGGCAAATAAGGGTGCAACATAAGATGCAAAGATTGCAACTGCCCATGCTAGGATAGCAGCACCAGGGTGGAATGGACTGATTTTGTGTACCTAGCGGATGAGGACAAGGCGATGATCCTGATGAGGACTCTGAGGAGAGTATGGAGGAGTAGTTTGAGAGTTCAGTTGCGCTTGAATTACTATTGTCAATGCAATTTGTTTTGACATTTTATTTTTCTGTTTGGTGTACTTGCATTTTGTCTACTGTGTTCTTTGAGTCTTTGGAACTGTTAGTCTATTTTGTTTTATTCTTTGTTTTTTGTGTTCATGCTCTTTTTATCCATTCTTGTTTTTTGCATAACTCTGATGGCCGACAGGTCTGTTTAGTGGTTTTTTCTGTTTTGATAAATAACTGGTGTATACGACTGGACGCTTTATTTGTTGAGGAATGCGGTAACGTTTTCGTTCTTTTATTCTTACGCTTAACACTGGGGACAATGTTGATTTTATTGGTGGGGGTAGGAATTAAGAAAACTTAAATTGAGCAGAATTTTTTTTGGATTTAGAGAGCAGTTTTTCTCTGGTATTCTTTTATTAGGTTGTGAGCTTTTATTTTTGTCTCTTTGATGTAATCAATTGTCTTGATAGGAATGTGATTGCAATCATAGAACTATGAGGACATTAATTTTTACCGTTGCTTTCGGATAAGTGTGAATATTATGACATTGAGTTGAGACCTAGTGAACTGTAGATTGAAAGTGGTTCAGTCACTTACTTAGAGACATGTTATGTTAAAAGTTTTCATGATTTTATTGTGATCTCAACAAACTCTAGAACTCATTTGAAAATCACTCAAGGCAAAATCCAAAATTCACATCACTTAGGAATGATTAAGGCTATTTTGGACCGACTGAACATTTCAAGCCAACCCTTGTTATTGTTGTCACTAGTTAGCCCTTTGAGCCTTTTAAACACAATTTAGCCTGTTTTTCTTTCTTTGAACTTAATTTTTACCCTATCCTGATTATGAGCCTAAAATACAATCCTACCCATGTTAGCCTTAAGAGACTTTATTGTTTCTTCAAGCTTATTACGAGTTTTGGTAAGGAAGTGTGGTTGTCACAACCCACGTGTGCGAAGAACTTGTGGGGGGTGTGGAGTGTTGTAAGATTAGTGGGGATGTGCATATTTCTGCCTCTTATTTCTAAGTTAAAAAAAAAAAAAAAAATTAGGCATTGAAAAAGCATTGTGAGATTGGGAATTATGAAATTGAGTGGTTATCACTGTCAAAAGAAAGAGCTCAATAAGGACTGGGAAGCGACCGAGTGAAAAAGAGAAGTGTTGTGTAATAGAGTGAATGAAAATTTAGTCTCTTAATGTAATTGTTGTTAATTTCTCTTTCCGTTCTTTCATGAATCCTACCCCAGCTAACTTACAACCTTTATAAAGACCTATTGATCCAAGGTGATGTGAATTCTACATTAGTGGAGAGTGATGTGAAAAGTGAGCCTATTGAGTTGATTTCATGATTCGCATAAGTCATAACCCGAATACTAAGATCAAAAATTTTGTTCATGAATGTTGTGCATAACACCATCGAGTTTGTAGACTAATGGTTTGTGGATGTATGGATGTTCTAGGGTTGATAACAAAAATGAAATTGATGTTTGCATTGTCTATGAGTTTAGGTGATTTTTAATTAATCTATTGTTTCGTGTATATGCAATTTTTGAGACGTCTTTATGAATTGATCCAAGACTTTTTGTTAATGATTTTTTTTTAATGGTTGTGTTTGTGTACTTTTGGAGTTTAGGATACGTTTAGTATGGTGTTTGTGGGTATCATCGTTGGAAACCGTCCGAGACTACAACTCGTCCAACTAGGGCCACCTAGGGGTTAAAGGCTTGTTGCATATGCTAATGCAATCGTGTCAATCTACGAAAGTGTTTAAGATAGTTAGATTTAGGTTTTTAATTAGTTGTTTTCTGTCAAGCATAGAGACTTATTTTATCGCTTATTTTGCTAGGACTAGCAAAAAGCTGGTTGAGGGTTGTGATAAGAGCTTGAATTTATATTTTGTTAGTAATTTAATTGGTTTATTTATGGAAAAATGTGTTTAAAAGTGAAATTTGGATTATTTGTTTCATAATAACTATTATGGGATCACGGGTGCATGTTGAGTGTTTTCAGGTTTAAACAGGTTGTGAAGGGAAAAGGATGAGTCGATAGGATTCACGATGCGTAGGGACAAACGGCACAAGAATCAGGGTCGAAAAGAGGGAGTTGTGCACGTCGAAGAGTGTACGGAAAATCTGGAAATCTTCATCATGAGTATGTCTCAATGTTTCTATCATAAATACTAAGTTATCAAAGTCTGAATTTGCAATATCTGGTGGCGTTGGAAAGCTTATTCAGAGAGC